TATAAGTGACCATCAATTCAAGGTACAGGGATGGTATTTTCAAGGATAGTAGTCGAGACTTCTAGTTTTAATTTAAGCCTAATATCACCTTTAGTTACTTTGCTATGGGTTCTAAAATATTGCAAAACACGCGATTTTTTTACACTTTGACCTCGTTTTTTTCCAAATCTATAGCTGATGGAGATTTTATACTTACGGATTCGTAATCAGCATAAAAAAGTCCAAAACAGCTTTAACATTTAATGCAACGAAATTGTTTCCCATTTTTGTCCCCTTGTGTAATAGATTGGCGCTTATACATATGTTCGTGCTTGGCCGAGCTTCTCCTCCGATTTGTGCGTGCGCCTTGATGTTGTCACACAAAGGGAAGGGACTTACAATTTTACGCTGTTTTTCATGGCAGAAATACACTCGGAGGTTTGCCATTGCCTGTCGAGGGGCGACCGCTGTTAAGGATAAACATTCTCTCCTAAATTTGTTTGTAAAGTTGCTTTGACCAGGGCTTGAACCCAGGCTATGCGCAGTGGAAGCGCGCACTGATTACCACTACACCACAGCGGCCGTTCTTTTACGATCCCATTAATGGGTTCAGACTAAATAAATTTTCTGAAAAAGAAGATTGCGAATTTTTTTTATACATATTTTTAATTTGAAAAGTCAAGCTCGCAACACTTGTTTATTATAAGCAACAACGTATACATTAAAATAATAATGAACAAACAATTAATGGTAGATTAAATTAATAGTATTGTTCGCTGAAACTAAAATACACACCAAAAATCATTCCTGTGGCAAACTATCGTAAAAATTATGATGGTCTTTAGGCAAAGTTGCTTTTAAATACTTCAAATCTAATTGGAGAGACCTCAAAAGGATTTTCCAGGATATGTTAAAGACTATTGCATTTACCTACCTACAGTTACTTTTTCACATAATGGAATTAACTAAAATATTTATGTAAACACTTGTTGCACGTCCCCTACTTTCATATAACGGCAAATTTAGAAACCACGAAAATGGACTTAAAATGGGCGTTTCTCGCCCTAATTGCATTATGTTAATGTATGCACATACTTATATTTACGTTTGCAACTACTTTTAACTTATCAAACGATTTCTAATCTATGACAATACATGTTTGATTCATTCGTAAAATCTGCGTTTTGCAAAAAAGCTTAACATTAATGATTAAAATATTATGAAAGTGCTGTGCTATAATTTTAGTCATGTTTTTTATAGTGTTAATANTGTTCATAAAAAGTGGACTTAGCAACATTTCACTCTAAGCTAGCGAAATATAAGGAAATTACACTAGTTATTGGAAATTCATATATCTTTCTTTTTGCGAAATTTCGCCTTCATCCATCTGCACGGATTTTGAGTTTGTTTTTCAATTCACTAAATCCCAGCCGAATGTATTTGAGGCCGTGGACCGCGATTAAACCTCAGCCATGGGATTCTGTAGCAAATATAAGAGCGCCGGGGTGTGCGGTAAGGAGTACCACCAAACGCCAAAATGCCCTGGTATAGATCAATNTTTTCACATAATGGAATTAACTAAAATATTTATGTAAACACTTGTTGCACGTCCCCTACTTTCATATAACGGCAAATTTAGAAACCACGAAAATGGACTTAAAATGGGCGTTTCTCGCCCTAATTGCATTATGTTAATGTATGCACATACTTATATTTACGTTTGCAACTACTTTTAACTTATCAAACGATTTCTAATCTATGACAATACATGTTTGATTCATTCGTAAAATCTGCGTTTTGCAAAAAAGCTTAACATTAATGATTAAAATATTATGAAAGTGCTGTGCTATAATTTTAGTCATGTTTTTTATAGTGTTAATATTAAAAGCAATCATACGTTCTACGAAAGAAGAAGAAGAATTTTCTGACTACACTGTAGTTTAGAATTAATAAAAAAGGTTATTTTACCTATAATAAGTCTNATGATATTCAGACAGCGCCGAGTTTTGTAGTCGAACAGTACACTGTGTAATTTTTGTTGTAAAATTCCAAATAGTTTTTTTTTTAATCAACAATTGAAAATTTTTGCAGTGTTTTGGAAATCTTTATTTTTCTTTGAAAGTAAGTGTCCGAATGAAAAATTTTTTTGGGTGTAGATTTAAGGAACATTAAACTATACAATGAAATTATTTGCGTTACAAAAATATATTTTTTTTTTGCTTTTCAATAAATTTTTTATGAAAAATAGAATTTTTAAGCAATTTCTGCGCCTCGTGGATGAAAATTTTTAACGGCTACTTATGTAACAAACATTTCTGCATTTATCTATAAAAAAAAAATGTGAACGTTTCGATATAGTTTGGTCGGAATGAATTTTTATTTGTCAGCGTGCGCGCCCGACTTCCGCGGGCATGCGAAATTCGAGCATGAGAAATAAATGTGGAACGATTGAAACGTGCATTTATTTCATGCGCAAGAAGTCAATACGGATTGCGCGCGATCCAGCCAGGCGAGTCGGGCCGGCACGCTGGCAAATAAAAATTCATTCCGACCAAACTATATCGAAATGCACGCATTTTTTCATAGACAAATGCAGAAATATTTATTACATAAGTAGTTGTTAAAAATTTTCGTCCACGAGGCACAGAAATTGCCTAAAAATTCAATTTTTCATAAAAAATTTATTGAAAAGCAAAAAGAAATATTTTTGTAACGCAAATAATTTCATTGTATAGTTAAATGTTTTTTAAATCTGCACACAAAAAATTTTTTCATTCGGACACTTACTTTCAAAACAAATAAAAAAATGTCCAAAACACTGCCAAATATTTTCAATTGTTGATTAAAAAGAAACTATTTGGAATTTTGCAACAAAAATTACACAGTGTAAAATACCTTTACAAACCTCTTTTTCTTGCAATGCAAAGGAACTCTTTTGCAATCTCTGCCAATCTGGGGTAGAAATCTTTTTTTTCATTCCACCATTTTAATGGATCTGATTTGCGATCTAAAAGCTTTTCATTTAAATATCAGGGGTTTTAGGAGTCACCGATTACGAATTTGATGTCTGATTTTAATAGAGTTAAATTGACCTCGAATTCGGGTTCAGCGAACCCTAAAACCCTGTGTAACGATTTTCAAGCGAATCCGACGAATTTTACAAAAAGTGTCCGCCATATTGGATCCGCCATTTTGAATTTTGAGAAAAAAAATATTCATATTCGTAATTAGCGACCCCGAAAACCCCCGAGTAACGAGTTTCAAGCGAATCCGACGAATTTTACAAAAAGTGTCCGCCATATTGGATCCGCCATTTTGAATTTTGAGAAAAAAAATATTCATANATTTTCAAGCGAATCCGACGAATTTTACAAAAAGTGTCCGCCATATTGGATCCGCCATTTTGAATTTTCGAAAACTGACATCAAATTCGTAATCGGTGACTCCCAAAACCCCTGAGTAACGATTTTCAAGCGAATCCGATGAATTTTACAAAAATGTGTCCGCCATATTGGATCCGCCATTTTGAATTTTGAAAAAATAATATCATATTCGTAATTAGCGACCCCGAAAACCCCCGAGTAACGAGTTTCAAGCGAATCCGATGAATTTTTCCAAAAGGTATCCGCCATATTGGTTTTCTGGGGTTATATCAAAACCCTGAACTGATGGGGCTAAATGGACCTCGGATTCGGATTCAGCGACCCCAAAAACATAAAGTGAGCTACATAGTGAGACCTTTGGGTCAGAACACAAATTTTTTTTTGTGTGGCTGTGCTATTAGTGTTTCCTTGAACACGGCGATCAAAGTCAGTCCATAAGGGGTTGCTGTTTAAATTTACTCTGATATCACTAATAGTGTCCTCACTGTTTGGAACATTTTTGTTCTCGATTAATCGGATGAGGCTGTCTTTACAGGCCTGAAAAGCTTCTTTGTCCGTAAAAGCATTTTTCTTGAACCTTGGATCTACGATGGCTGAAACTGATAAAATTATATTGTGCTCAAAGCGAAGAAACCGTTTACCTATGTTGGATATTAATTTTTCAGCAAATATACGGCCTGTATCTGTTTGTAACAGATTTAACTTGTTATTTAAAAACGATTGCAACCCTCGAATTAAAATAATTACTTTCGACACAGTAACGTACTGTTCAGCGCTCATTTCCATTGTCAAATCTTCAAAAGGCTTTAATAGTTGAGAAATCTCATTCAAAACCTCCCACTCATTTGCGGCTAAAATACTTATGGGGTTATGCAGCACACCGATAGTTGCCTCAAGAGGCTCCTGAACTTCAATCAACCTTTGAATCATATGGAATGTAGAATTCCATCTGGTTTGTACTTCCATTTTTAGTTTTAATTGGGGTTTATTCATTGTGGTCTGTACTTCCTTTAATTTATTTGCAGCCACTATACTTCTATGAAAATATTCTACAATTGAACGACATTTATCTCGCAAAACGTCAACGTTACTCTCCTTGAAGGAATCGCAGATAATTAGGTGGAGCGTGTGGGCAAGGCAGGGTATGCTCTGCCACCCGGTAAGTCTAATGGCAGCAATGACATTAGCTGCGTTATCGGACGCAACTGCGCAAATTTTCTGACTGATATTCCAATCAGTTACTGAATCTATTAAAACATTTCGCAAATTAATGGCAGTGTGGCGTTCATTCATTCTAAAACAATTTAAAACCAAACTTTTTTGCTGCCAAATGTTGGATATAAAATGAGCTGTAAGCGATACAAAACTTTCACTTGTTAAAGATGTCCATGCATCTGTGGTGGGGCATACGAAATTGGCTTCTGACAAAATTTGCTTCACCTCATTTACGCGCTCTTCCTAAACTTGTGGCAACAGTTTCTTCGTTAAAAATGTGCGGGATGGAATATGATAAGAGGGATTCAGCTCACTGATGAAGTTTTTAAAGCCAACGTCCTCGACAATGGAGAACGGTTGAAAGTCTTTCACTATCATTTGCAGTAGCTTCTTATTTAAAGCTGTTACCATTTCTTTTGATAATTTTGGTTGCGTGTAGTTGCTGAGCCTCGTTTGTTTTGTAGCTGATGACGTACTATGTTCAGGGGCCATTGTGGCATGTTCTATGTACAATGTTAAATTTGAAATACATAAATACATATATGGAAACGTTACTATGCAATAAAACACTTACCATCGTTTCTTACCGATGTTGTTTGCGATAACTCAATTGTTGGATGCTTAACAAGGAGATGCTATCGTAAATTGGATGTACCTCCACCTAATTATTGTAATATATTTATTGTAAATAATTTTAGTTATTAAATAATGAGCAAATATATAGGCATACCTTTGTAAGACAGAGTAGTTTTACAAAAATCGCATTTTGCCCTTACTGCATCCACCGCTGTAAAGTGCTGCCATAATCCGCTCCGTTTACCTTCGTTTTCTGCAATTAAATATTTGTAGCATGTAATTTATAAGCTAATATTGTAAAAATACTTACTCAAACGCGACGCCATTTCGAACGTTAATGTATAATATTCAAACGTAGATTTTCTTTGAAAAGAGAGTAACCACAGCTATTGCGAATTTGAAAAAGTCTAACAACGTTGCCGCAAGAACTATAGCGGTTGGTAGGACTGTTGCGATAAGTACAAGAAAGGGATGAGTGTTTGTGATGGCAGTATTGTCGAGATGCGGTTGTCGTACATATTATGCTTGTTAATATTTTACGAAAACATCGTCTGATTTGTACATTTAGGGTCTTTTAGGCAATATCATATAAAATAGCTATGAAATAAATTCTTTTCAATATTTAAATATATATTATAGCGAAGGTTTCATGTATCGAATCGGTATCGGGTACCGAAAAGGAAGTATTGGGTACCGACAATTCAGCACATCACTACTAAAGAAACATATGCCGTGATGGTGAGAAAGTAGCAGAGCTGTGCGCAGGTGATACTAAAACCGAAAGCAACACAACAAAGCCAAATTACAGAGAGCGAAGTTAAAGAAAGCATTAATCCAGCAAATTTGAAACTGAAGATAAATGGGATAGCGAATAGGCAGATTGGAGCCAAGAATGATAGAATACAAGATTGCGCCAATCGAGCTGAGAGCAACTGGCCGTGACGTCAAAATATACCAGAATGAGAGAGCAAGACGAACTCGACAAGAAAAAGAAGAAGCATCGAACAAAAGGCAGTATTGCCAAGTTTTGAATTTGAAAAAGCGCCAAATTTTTATTGGTGTATTTTATGGACTTTATATGAATACATAATTTTATTGTAAGGATGCCGATTCAAAATAATAAAAATCAATGTTTCTTGCACAACGGTCGATTTCTTCTGGCATGATTGAAGGTGCTGCACATATTTCGTTGTCGCTTATGATTGTCACTGTGCCATGATTTTGTTTAAATTTTTGTTGCTTAGCACACTTAAAATTGCTATAAATTTTGCTTCCATTTTTTTAAGAATTTCTAATTTTAAGTCTTCAAACTAAAAACAAAAGCACCAAAAACGCACCAAGCACAAAACTAAAAAATTTTCGCGTTTTGAATACCCACTAAATTCGGTGCGAAAAGCATCAAGTTGGCAACAGTGAATGTAAACAAAAGTATATTATGACGTCAGCGATTGGGTGGATACTGTCAAATCGACGAAGAGAGGGTTAGCGGTCCGCGAATGGCACGACCTTTATTTTCTGGATCGTGGATTGGAGCAATAGCCATAAAGTGTAACAACAATGATGTTAGAAGTGTATTAGCTGAAGAAATTAAGAATAAGCTAAGTCAGAAATATGATGTTTTCCTTCCGGGTATGCGTTACCCAAAACTATTAGTATGCGGTTTATCAGATCAATTACAATGCGCCAATGTGGAAGAAGCAATTAAAAAATAAAATGATTTCGAATTCAAATACATAAAATGTACTAAAGTCTATCCTTCCTTTAAAAATACGCGAAAATTCAATGCTTACGTAGAGGTAGATGGTGATGCTTTCGAAATGATCATGAAAGAGCAAAGACTCAACATTGAGTGGGATCGTTGCACTATTTACGAAAGCCTCGACGTACTAAGATGCTACAAATGCTGGGGTTTCAACCATAGAGAATCAATGTGCAAAGAAAGCCAGAAGATATGTGCAAAATGCAGTGAAGTTGGGCATTCATACAGGGATTACAAAAATACCTTTCAGAAACGCATTAATTTGTTCTAAAGCAAAAGCAATTGTTAAACTTAGCGAAATAGATGTCAATCATGATTCAAGAGATAAGTGTTGTAGCGCATTACAGAGAAAATTAAAAGGTGAAGCAGAGAGAACCTTGTACTAGCAACTAAATGCGCCAATAGCGAAGCGAATTACCAAATGCTTGTATCTTAATATTGGCGGATTATGCACAAACTACGCACAGCTAGAGGTGGTTGTAGAGAGCGAATAGTTTGACTTCGTATGTCTAACTGAAACGCACTTAACTGAATCAATCGAAGATAGCGAAGTCACATTAAATAATTATTCAATAGTAAGATGCGATAGTGAATCTACGCACACCGGGGGAGTCATTGTATACGTTAGGAAAGCTTCGAATATAGACTCCATTGAAATTATTGCTCAAGAAAAAATGTTTTGGTGGCTTTCTTTGCCAGTGACTCAGGGTAGCAAGAAATTATAGATTGCATTGGTTTATAGGTCACCAAACAGGCAATCTTCGCTCGTACTTCTTTTTTGCGACTTTATAAAAGCGAAAGTTGACCACCTCTCTAATCTTGGAGAGGTATTTTTGCTCGGGGACTTTAACATCAATAGGAAAGAGAGCTCTGCGTGCAAGCGGTACTTAAAACAAACCTTTGAAGCTTACGAGAATAACGAATACGTCTGCAACGTTAATCGAATATGTAGTAACAAATTCGCCTACCACAACATTCAAAATAGCAGCGGACTATATAATAAGTGAGCATGAAACTATCTGTATAGAGATTGGTAAGAGCAGCGAACAGCGAAAAAGTAAGGATACAATTATTCAAACCATCCACTTTAATAGAAGAATACTTATAAATGTTTTTAATACGAGAAATGTCAATAGCATACCTTTATCCAATGACCTTGAGTTAAAAACTAAAAGATTTAACGGCTATGTTAAGGAATCAATTCACAAGATGACGAAGTTTAAAAGTATTCAGTTGAAATGAGACGCTTAAAAATAATCCACAATAAGTGCGCAGTGTGGACAAATAGTCCAGGTGATTGGCATAATTATAAAGAAATTAGAAATAAATACACAAATCAGCTTGAGATGGCAAAAAGCCGATACATCGAAAATCGAATCGAGCAATTCAAGGATCAAAAATCAATGTGGCAAGTAATAGAAAAGCTTGTGCTGAACAAGGAGCATAAAGAAATAAGAAATATAAACTTTAACGGTACGGTGATAACGGATCACAAGGAGCTAGTGAATTGTCTTAATAACTTTTTTGTCGAAAATATTAAAATGATTAATGCGCAAATACCAACAGTGTCCTATATTAGTCATGTTCACGCAACCGTATCAATATTTGAATTCCGGTATGTGTGTCTTAATGAACTTAAGCAAACCATTTTAAAGATGAATAAGAAAAAAGATTTTAATGCATTACCTGCACCATTAGTAATCAAAGCATTCGATACTATTAGACCGATTTTGTTAGAATTAACCAACGAATCACTAACGCATGTTATTTTCCCCGAAATATCGAAAGAAACAAGAGTTGTACCAATTGAAAAGGTTAAAAATGCCAAGAAAGCGGAAGACCTTCGGCCAATAAATACCCTTATGGTCGAAAGTAAAACACTGGAAAAAATGCTTGAGCAATTGCAGCAGCATCTTAATAGAAACAATACACTCTCAGAATTCAAATTTGGATTCAGGCAAAATCACAGTTGTGAAACACTAATAAATCTAGTACTAGCCAGGTGGAAATCCGATCTCGACAGCAACAGGAAAATTGCTGAAATTTTTTCGATTTGCAAAGGGCCTTCGAGACCCTCGACAGGGAGATTTTGCTTGATAAATTGTTCCACTACGGAGTATCCGGGACTGAGCTTCAATGGTTTCAAAGCTATTTGAGCGGAAGATGTCAGCGAACTAAAGTCGACGATTGTGTATCTGACGCGCGTTTTGTGCATCTCGGGGCTCAGAAGGGCGCAGTATTGGGAACGGTGCTATTTATAATCTACATCAATGACTTGGAAAAAGTTTTACAGAACTCAAAAAATATGCTTATTCGCAGACGAAACACTACTATATGTGGCAGGCGACACAGCAGATGAATGTGTAAATAAGCTTAATGAGGATCTCGTTAGAGTGGAAAGGTATCTACATATGAATAAGCTTAAACTAAATGTTAAAAAGACTAAATGGATGATTTTAAATGGCAAATCAAACAAGAACGTCTTATTAGATAGAGAGCAGGTTGAAAAAGTTGAGAAAATTAAGTACCTAGGAATTATATTAGATGCAAAACTAAAGTTTGACTACCATATAGACTATGTCTTTAAAAAGATAGCTAAGAAAATTGACTTTTTTCAAAGAATAAGAAAAAGAGTATCAATGTTATATGCAATTAATATTTACAATACTATGATAAAACCACATTTTGAATATTGTTCGACTATTTCTAAGCAATCAACCTAGTCGGGTAAGAATGCAAGTACTGCAAAATAAAGCAATGGGAATTATTCTTAAGTGTAGTATGCGAACCCCAATTAGAGTACTTCTTGAGACACTGAAATGGATGTCTGTATACCAAAGGGTGATGCTAAATGCTTTCTGTTTTATATTTAAAATAAAAAGTCGTATGCTGCCAAGCTATCTAATATCGGAAATAAGCCTTGTATCAGATGTTCAGCCATACTATCTTAGGAACGGTTCAGATATAAGGACGCATTCTTTGATGTCATACACAGCTCAAAATAGTTTATTTTATAAGAGAATTTATTTATTTAATAATTTGCCAGCAGAATTAAGAACCGAATCAAATTTTTATATATTTAAAATTATGTGAATATGTAAAAGATAATTATAATTAACTACCGACTAATCAAATGTTTGTAAACCATTTATACATATCATTGTTAAAAAATAGCGAAATTGCTAAATAAATGAAGTTCATCATCAAATATTGCATAAAGTTTGAAACTTTGATTTACACGGTTTTTATTAAAGAACAAACTACATTTTTATGAATAAATAATTAAGATTAAATTATTACTATAATAAAATAAATAGTCAAAACTTTTCAATATGTAGGTGTCGCATAGTTATGATCACAAATGCAAGTACACCTTTAGCCTTGTTGACTGTCACATTAATATGAAGATTAAAATTAAGCTTAGGATCCATTGTGATACCAAGGTCCACAAAATTGTATACCTGTTCCAGGTTATGTTTACCTATTGTATAGGAAGTGGGATGAACAGCTCTTCGCGAGAAGCTCATTACTTTACATTTCTTAAGATTTAGAGGCATACGATTTACTTGACGCCAGTAAGCCATGCTGTCTAAGTCTGATTGTAGCAAAGACATTTCTTTAATTGAAACGTACGATTTATAAAGCTTTACATCATCTGCATACATTAGAATTTTGGAAAATTGTATATCTGTAGAAATATCGTTTATAAAAAGCAAGAACAGAACCGGGCCTAGGTGGCTACCTTGAGGGACTCCTGAAGTAACATCAATGACGTCAGAGATAGTATTTTTAAACATTACCCTTTGTGATCTATCATAGAGGTATGAAGAGATCCAACGTAGAAAATT